CAAAAGTCCCATTACACGCGCTCCGCGGATCCAAAACTCGTGTATACACTACATTACTGTAATTTGATTTTTTGCGATTTCCAGTTTTAAATTTCTTACATATCTAAATTTATTAGGCTTAAAATTTATTAAAATGTATTTTACTGACTTGTTATAAGACGTTTCTTGAGTTATATTCAAAATATAGAATTACCGCCAAATTAGCCACACGTCGCATCAATGGTCTCGGCGTTCGCTATCTAACAAGTTTAAACTTCAAACGGTCATATTTTTACAAATTGAATCGCTTGATAGTGTTCATCGGCATAGATTTTTAATAACCGTGTTCAGCAAGCTCTGTGTACACGTAGTTTTTCGAACTTCTTCAGCAATTTATTGATTAAGTACGTTCCTAAATTAAGAAAATTCTATCACAGTGCTATAATTTTTTGTTTCCAGGTTGCAATGGCTGGCCTGTGTTTATTATGTCATCAGACACTTGCAGAGGGTGAACTATTGCAGATGCGACCTATGGCATTCGAAATATAACCGAAAACTACGCATTTTTTGTGCTTAGAAAATTGCTCGTAAAACGAGTGGTTTTTTCTTAAATCCAACATTTTTCCTTTTTTTTTGAGAAAAAACAAGCACACTGTCGATTTTTTCCGTAATTTGGGCACTTTACAGACTGAAAATAAATTAGAATCAGTAAGTTTAATGAGAAACAAGCTTACTTTCTCTCCCAATTGCCAGAAAATTCGAGTAGCTTCAATTCTCGCGAGAATTACCGATCTTTGCACACGTGCGCTCAGGAAACAGTGGATGCTAGAAAAAATGTATATGCCACAGTTTTTCGTGTCTTTTTTTTCTCTATCATCTGATGGAAACAGTTTTCTATTCAGATAATTAGTTTTCGAGTTAATTAAGAAAAAAGTACGAGAAATTAAGAAAAAATTGTTCTGCAATTTTTTTCAAAAAGTTCGGAACGTAACTAGAAAATACGTATTTTCAACGTATTTTTGTCATGCATATATATCTTCTCCCATTTCAAGTTTTCTTGTAAATAACTAAAAACCAGATAGAGAACAAAAAGCAAGCTTATCACCAAGTTGGAAGTTACACTCAGGCTTAGGATTAATTTTCTAACATTTTTAAAGTATACCTTTTTGTGTATTTTTTTGTGCTTTTTTCGATGGCGGAGTTAGATTTTTCAAATATATTTTTTTTTGTTAGATGTTTTCGGAAAACCCGGAAAAAATCATATATGAAAAAAATTAAAAAAAACTACGCCTTCCGGTTTCCGGCGAATTCCCGAAAAATTATGGCAGATTTCGCCGCGGGACTTATTTTATTTGAGAGCCAACAAAAAAATACGCAACTTCTCTGATTGGCACATATGTCTAACATTTATAATTTCGAAAGAGTAAAACCAAATTTGGTAGATTTTCACACTTTTATTTTAAAAAAAAAATTTAAAAAAAAACACTAACATGACATATGTTTCGAAGTACAACTTCTTTTTCAAATGTGACTATTTACAATTCGGTATCCAATATATATACGAAATAATTTAACAAAACAAAGTACTTAAGAAAACATCAATAACATTACAAAATAAACTAACTATTTAAAGTAAATAAGGGTACTTAGGTAATTATAATATCCATCAGATAACAATAAGATAGCCCATTACCGGGATTATCTCACAGAAAACTAGGAAAGAGATTTAATAAGGGTGAATTATTAATATCTAATTGATCATTTAGTAAGTTATCTGAATTTTTAAATTTATTTATTTCAAGTGTTTGTAAATGGTTTAATTTAAGGCTCTTATTTTCTACATGTAAAATTTCAAAGTTGTCTGTAAAAGAATGATTTTCAGCTAAAATATGATTTGAGTAAGTAGAATTATTTTTGTTTTTTGTATAGCTATTATAATGTTCGGAACATTATAATAGCTATACAAAAAACAAAAATAATTCTACTTACTCAAATCATATTTTAGCTGAAAATCATTCTTTTACAGACAACTTTGAAATTTTACATGTAGAAAATAAGAGCCTTAAATTAAACCATTTAGAAACACTTGAAATAAATAAATTTAAAAATTCAGATAACTTACTAAATGATAAATTAGATATTAATAATTCACCCTTATTAAATCTCTTTCCTAGTTTTCTGTGAGATAATCCCGGTAATGGGCTATCTTATTGTTATCTGATGGATATTATAATTACCTAAGTACCCTTATTTACTTTAAATAGTTAGTTTATTTTGTAATGTTATTGATGTTTTCTTAAGTACTTTGTTTTGTTAAATTATTTCGTATATATATTGGATACCGAATTGTAAATAGTCACATTTGAAAAAGAAGTTGTACTTCGAAACATATGTCATGTTAGTGTTTTTTTTTTTAATTTTTTTTTTTTTTTTAAATAAAAGTGTGAAAATCTACCAAATTTGGTTTTACTCTAAAGTGTGAAAATCTACCAAATTTGGTTTTACTCTTTCAAAATTAAATGGATTTTCATCAAGTAAAGGCCGAAACAATAAATAATTTATAATTTCGCCACAAATTCATCGCAAATTTCATGTCCATGGTTCTGATTAAAAAAACGAAGAAACGACTTTTTGGTAAAAGCACTTCTGGCGGCGAGAAATTCGCCATTAAAACTACCTGTGCAATGAATTTCCGAACTATTTTTGCCTCCTCTTTCGAATGGTGCATTTATTATCACTATCGGAATGATATTTGCCCAGATAATTAGCATTTTTACAATGGAAAATTCCGGAAAACCCGGTTTTTCCTAATTTAAAAAAAATTGAAAAACTGCTACATCTTTTTTTTCTTTTTTTCGGAAAAATCACATCAAAATACACAAGGTACTTTTTGTTTCATCCAATTACAAATTAATGAAAGCTCGAAGGGGCTTTTTTTCGTTATTTAAGTGGACTAAAAGAGTATCTTGGAGTATTACATAGAGTAACTTGGAGTATTACATAGAGTATATCAACTATCAATTGCATATAAAGGTGACGACTGGCTTCTAACAAAACGTAATGTATCACTAGCATTCGATATTTTTGGGTAATTCATTAATGCATATAAAAAATGATATAGGACCAAAGATTGATCCCTGCTGGACCCCTATATTGATTACTAACTTTTAATATTTAATATTCAGAATAGTTACTATTATTTAATTTCAAACCTACTGAAGACGAACTTTTGTAACAATGTTTGCTGTCAAAATTTTGAATTTACATAAATAAATGTACTTGTTAGAAGAAAAATAATAAAATGGTATAGCATGTGGTTTAATAAAAACAAAAAATGCGAGACGAATCTTTCGCCGTTCAATATTTTGTACCTCAAAACAAGCACCAAAATTCTGTAAATACATTTTTTCTACGACCACTAAGGAAAGTGACACAATAAGTCTATTTAGTCTTAAGGGAAGTACCCTATATCACTCTTGTGTGGATAAGAAACTACGTTTCGTTCTGTATCTGTATCTACAAAACACCATCCGTAAAACACTTTAAAAATTATTCAATACAGCATATCAAAACAAAACTAGAACCAGCCACATCTTGATTGATTCTTCATAGCTAGATTTCTTGGTTTTAAGTTTTTTAATGAAATAATTTTTTGGCCGTAGGATAAATATTGTATATTTATTAAATGTCTAACATTCTGTAAGTATTTTTACAAATTCATTTTGAATTTTTAAACTATTTTTTTTATTTTTGAATATTTCTTCAGACCATCAACAAATAACAAACTCAAGCGTTTCAAATTTAATAATAACTCGTGAATAAAAAACAAACAAAAAATAGTGGCTATAAGTTAGAGCCGTGGGGAACACCAGAAGCTGCCGCGTAAAACCGTCACTTACGTTCATTGTATTCTTTAAAATGTATTTGATCAATCATGTATGATCTCATCGAAGGAATTGAAAATCCAACGGATTCGAACTTCGATAGCAGTAGACGTTCTATTTGGTCGAAAGTTTTTTGAATATCGCTGAATACGTCCACTGCGCGCGTGGGAGTTAATAATTCTGAAATAAATTGTGAAATGTATTTTTTCTACACCCACATAGAAATAAGCTTATCAACAAACAGACTACAAAACGAAAAAGAATGCCATTGTGTTCAACTGAACGAATATATTTCATATACATTCTAAGTAGTGAGAACACTGCAAAAAATGAAATCCACCAATCACTGTTCCTATTTTGGTCACCGTCTACTATTATTTTTTAAATTTTATATAAGTGGCAATTCTGTCAAACTAATTGTCAGTATATTTTTAGTTATTAAGATTAAATATACGTAAAAATGAGCCATTTGGAATAAAATAGGTTAAATTATTTTAGCTTTTTAATATATGTAAATAATTTTGTAAACAATACGAGAATAATGAAATAGGCATAAAACAATAGTGGATATTATACCCCCCTGTGTCCCTTAGAATGTCTTATTCAGGACAGCACGATATTTGTTAGTAGCTACATCTCCTCGTTATCTCTGGACCTGCCCGGTAGATTTTAGTGATATTGTGTATGTGCTGAGTAGTGTATAGTTATCCTGAACTCAAACTTCATTAATATTTAAATAAAAGGGAATTGTCAATGAACAATTTCAATACAGGTTTAGTTATAGATATAAATCATTGCCCATTGTAACCTTACAAATTGCGATTATACTGTTTATTAATTTCTTAGTAATTATAACTGCGTTTCAAAAACATTGTCATGGTCACGCGTGCCAGTGTTGATCAACGTCTAATAATTTAGTCAAATATTGATTGGATTAGATCAAATATTAGCCTAAATCGTCGCAGGTCCGCTATACATATACCAGGAAACCAAAGCGAAAGTGTGAATTATTATGGTCAAAATAAAACATTGCATATTATTTGTTTACATTAATTATGTTCACCAATTAGACATGAATAAAAACAACCGTCATTTCGTGATAGGATGAATGAATTTTGAGAATTTTTGGAAACTTACCCCCAGGGTTAAAATTTTTCGACTGACTTGCGGCAGCTCCAGCCGATCCAGACGAACGTCTGGATGATCTGAAACGAAAAGAGAATATTTTAAAATATAGTTTGTAACATCAATTTAATAACTAAAATTTTAAAAAATTTTGTTCTACATAGGAAAACTTCATTTGCAATAACGGTCGCACTAAAAATATACAATTCACTTCCAGGAAATATCGAAATGTAAAAAGTTTTTTGAAAGTAGTTTCGATTAGAGCATGCCAATGTTGTAAGACATTATTAAGGCCACAGTAGCATACTTTAATATTCATAATATTAACTAATTTTGATAGATATCATTTACGTGTCAGATAGATGGAACAGTATTCCATATTTATTAGTTCTTTTGTTAACCCTTTGCGGCCTAGTCGTCCTACTGTGAAACAACCTTTTTAAAAATTTTTAGCTTGCTTCCTAGTCGCGATTTACGCAAACCACCGACACAAATGAGTCACAACTAGACAGGCTTCAACAAGAAATTCGCGAAGTATGTTCTAATTAGCTTTTAGTCGCTGATGTGTGAGCATATATATTTTTGTGTTGAAATCTTTTAAAAAAATCAGGTAAGATGTCAATAGTTTATTAGTTTTTGATGATTTACTGATTTTTCAAGAAAATGTCCATTTCTATTTGAAATTCTAATACTTTTTTTATATTTTGATTGGTGGTTTTGTATAAAACCATTAGGGCTATTAGTGCTAAAGAAACACTTTGTTTCAGATATTCAAAATGAGTCGAAAATTGAAGATCAATAAAATAAATAGCGATGAAACTTATGCTTTATTAAATGATATTCCTTCAGAAGCTTCTGACGCATCTGATGTTGAATTTTGTCATAATGACGTTGATTGGTTGGAAGAAGATGGAGATTTGGAAGACTTGGAAGAGGAAGATAGTATAGAAGAGAAAGATGGTATAGAAGAGCAAGATCGTATAGAAGAAGAAGATCGTATAGAAGAGAAACAAGAACGAAGTGAACAGAGAGAATCGAAAAAAAAAAAAAGAAACAGAAAATTGAAACAATAGAGATAAAGTGGAGTCAGAGTACTGAAAGAGTAAAAAAGAAATTGCCTTTTCAACAAACCACTGGTCCAAGAGTACCAGCAGATTTGGAGACTCCCGCAGGTTTTTTTTACATTTATTTCCATAGAAGATGTTAAAAAAATTGAATTCGAGACTAACTTGTATGTTGTCCAGAAAAAAAAATAGTATAAAAAAACCAACAACGGTAAATGAACTGAAGTGTTTTCTAGGAATAAATATGATGATGGGAATAAAAAAATTGCCAAGTTACAAAGATTACTGGTCCTTAAGAATAGAGCTACGTAATACTTTTGTTTCATCCTCTATGGGCCGCGACCGATTCTCGTGGCTTCTTTCAAACCTTCACATCAACGACAATTCTTTAGGGCCTAAAAAAGGTAGTCAAAATTATGACAAACTCTATAAATTACGCCCGATGCTAGAAGAATTATCAAACACCTATAAAAATAGCTACTTACCAAGCGAAGAGCAGTCCGTAGATGAACCTATGATCAAATTCAAAGGTAGAAGTAGCTTACGTCAATACATGCCTAAAAAACCCATAAAACGAGGATATAAAATGTGGGTCCGAGCAAACAAAAATGGATATATTTCGCAATTTCAAATATATACTGGAAAAGTTGCTAATCTAAAGACAGAAAAGGTAAAAGAGTTGCGAGAGATCTGACAAAAAATTTGGTAGGAAAGCACCATCAAGTCTATTTTGATAATTACTTCAACAGTGTAATCCTACAAATTGATCTGTTGCAAGATCAGATATACGCGTGTTGAACTGCAAGAAGTGACAGAAAACATATTCCCCAGTCCTTCACCAAACAAATAAAAAAGATAATCAGAGGAGAGTCTGATTGGAGAATAAGTGATAATGAGATAGTAGCTGTTCAGTGTATGGACAACAAGCCAATTGTATTTTTAAGTAATTTTCATAACCAACTGATGATGATACCGTAAATAGAACACAAAAAGATGGCAGTTCAAAAGAAATCAGTTGTATAAATTAGTAAGAGATTACAACATACATATGGGTTATGTTGATAAATCTGATATGCTAAAAAAATGCCATGAGCTTAATCGCAAGTTAAAAAAATGGTGGCACTGTATTTTTTTGGCATTTCGTTGATTTGACAGTAGTCAATGTCAATGTCATGCCACTGAAGGAATTTAAATTGTCAGTAGTAACAGGTTTGATCGGCGCTAACCTCAATGTGTTGGAGACAAGAAGAAGTCAAACTGCAGAAAATCCATTCAAAGTACGTGTACCAATAGAAATAAGAACAAATAAAGCTGCTCATTTGCCAAAATATGGCACTAGCGTTCGATGTGACAACTGTAGTACCAAGTTAGAACCTCATCGTACCAAATGGCACTGTTCCACTTGTACAGTTGGGCTATGCCTATAGGACAAAAGATCAAAATATCATAGCAAGTAGTTGCGCCCTAGCGGTTAAACTGTTGAACCACCACTTTTTTCAAATGTTTGTAAAAAAATAAATAAAATATTGCATGTATGTGTTTTATTTTATGCAAAAGAATATAAAAAACAATAAAACATCGATTTTTTCTGTCAAAATCACATAGCCGTCCTCTAAGGGTTAAACAGATGGCGTAATATTTCTATTTATTATTTATCCGGTCCAGTTTGGACATCTAATCGACATGACAACACTGTGCAGTTAAACGGTAACTGTTAAAATAACTTCAGCACCCCGAGCCCCACCGCGATAAGCAAACGAGATTCTTTAACTTGCAAAATATTTTGCAGGTAAATATTAGTTTTGGATTTAGATTCGAGATATCGGTATATTTACTTGAGGGAGTAAAAAAATTCAAAATTCGGGCGATGAGGTGAAAACCTTTGGGGCCTTTAATTTTCTTCACGTTTAGCATATTAACCCCCCCCCCTATGCGTTCTGCTTTCCACAGGAATTTTTGTTCGTTTTTTGTTAAATTATTGATATGGTTGTATTGAAAAAAATCGGTTTACGTTCGAAATGAATTTCATTACATCCCCCCTTTTTTTTTTTCAAAATTCTAAATTTTTGTTTTTATGAAGGGCATTGACTAAACTGAGATTGAATTGGGTAAATTTTCATCGGAAGAGGTTATTGTGATCGGCTGAAGGTTAAGTTACTACCATAAAGTGTGTGGAGGGGATGAAACACTTTTGTCGGAAATTTGATATTTTGAGATATAGGTTATATAGGTAATTAAAAAAATAAGAAAAAAATTAGTATGAGGTAACTTTCCCCCACCCCCCTAAATTTTGTATGTCTGTTTTTTATTTTGTTATAATTATTTTCGATATATTTTATGACGTTAGTCGTTCGTCGTTAGGACCAATCAAAAGGCAAAGGTAAAGACTTATTATAGGTACATGGTGTTAAGTCAAGAATGGACATAAAACAACTGAAGATTCTCTGATTAAAAATAAGACTATTAAACGAAGCATGCTTAAAATGTTTCTCTTTTCCAAAATACAGTGTAAAACTTTTAAAATACAAAAATGATTTATGGCTATGTTTTTTTATTACTTAGTATAATTTTACTGAATTCGGCAAACGTTTTTGGTGTCATAAGATCCACTTATCAGCAAAAAAATTAGTTACCTAAATAAACTTTTCCAGTGGCGTACAGCATTGAAACGTAATATCGCATCCCTCCTAAATATTACGTCACTATCAAAAAAGTTATTTGGATAAAAAATTATAAATTATTTAATGTTTTTTAAATAATGTACTCTTCTTAGAAACTAAAAAAATCAAAATTTAAAAATTTCAGAATTTTAAAATATATTAAAATAAAAAATGTCCACCTTTCCAACTTTATTGAAAAAACATCCAAACTTTTTTATGAATTTTAGGAAAAAAGCGTATTTTTCATAAACGGTTATGCATGGTTTAAATCTGAAATATTATAATCTAATATAAAATTTTATTAATCGAATACAGGGTTTTTCAAAAATAAAGGTACTTTACTCTTGAGCAGAATCATATTTTTTGACAAACATCGTATACTACTGATATAATTTTAATTAAACCAGTAATTAGTGGGGAATGCAGCAAATGAAAGAGTACTTTTTTAAGTTTATTCCAAGCTTTCGGAAATGTTTATTTCCATCATCAGGGAGACTAAAATAAAATAATACCACATATTATGATAAAGTAAGGTAAAAAAATTTTTTGTCATCTTTTACATCTTAATTAAGGTTGTTCATTTTGGTGGTATTATTAAGTTTAGTGTAAAAATACAAAGTAAAATGGACAAGCTGAAGTCAATTACAAAATAATATTATACACAAACAATAACTACGATACTTTAAAAATTAAAAAAATATAAATAACGGAAGGTCAATTTGACATGACAAGTAAAATTTTAAATAAATAACAAGTTATTAGAGGTTAGGAAATAAATGTGGATAATGCTATGTTTACATACCATTAATATTTTTTAAATGTTCAAAGAGTGATTTTTATATTAAATTAGCTCTGTATTATTTAAATTATGAATTTGGTTTGGTTTATTGTCCAAACTCAATAAATAAGAATAAATTACACTTAAATTGTTAATATCTGTCTTTTTGTTCATAGAATTTGGTTCCTGTGAAATGAAAGCCATCTCCAAGAAAAGTCTTTTATGGTAGTTATTTTCAATGGCTAATATTTTAATTTCGTCATAATTTATATTATGTTGATATTTATTAGCATGTTCAGCTAAAGCACAACGTTCTGGATGTAGTCTGCAATCACTCCTGTGGGAGGAGATTCTACCTGAGATAGGTCTTTGTGTTTGACCAATATAGACTTTATTACATTCTAGACAAGGAATGTTGTATACTACATCTGATAATGATTTTAAGGGGGTTTTATCTTTGAGTTTAGAATAGATTGAGCCTATTGTTAGAACTGCCTTATTGGCTATCTTAATGTTATAATTAATATTAATAATTCTTGATAGTTTAGGTGTGATCTCCTTGATGTAAGGTAAAAAGG